TGACCCAGTTGGGATAAATTAATTGCTACAATGAATAGCAAATGAAGAATGATTGCCAGATTCATAGCTTGAGCTATGAATTTAATAAAGGAATAACATGTATCAAAAGGTGAATACATGAATGTCTGTTTTGGTACTGTATTACACAAGCTGGTGAAGAGTTCTGATGGAGTTGAATGTTCACATACATTTCTTTTCTTCTTGAGTATTTTCATGGTCCAGTGGATGTGCCACCCATTTTATCTTGTTGTTTTTTTTTACACATAGATCTCAGCTCTAATACATTTCTCTTTTACTTCTGATGGAGAATACTACAGACAACCACTTGGGCAATCTATAACACAAGAGGGGGTTTGGGGGCCTGTAGTGTACTGAGGACTCAACCAGCAGAAGTACTCTGCATGATCTTCCTCCAGGCACCAGATAATAAACATAATTAGGCTTCAGTTAGCCTTTCGGCCAAGTGCACCAACTAAATTTAATCAGCTTGGCTGATACAGAGATTGCCATAATAACAATCTGGTTTATACGAAGGTTGTGATGTTACTTGCTATTTATGCTCTGTGCCAGTACAGGGGTCAATGTACTTTAACTAAAAGGAGGAAAATGGATATTTTGCAGTGTGCTTGTGATTCCCATATTTTTAGAGTGCAAAACAGGCAGTTGTTTCTAAATCTCTTGAGGTACAACCTCATAATACTGAATTTAAGCTGATGTTCCAAACTTACATTCTCTCTTTTTGGAGAAAGCAACTATCTCCATTGGCAACAAAATCTGGCGAGAACAACTTTTCAACTTCTCTGCATCTCTTCCAACCTTTCTTAACTTTTGGAATGCCCAGCTTGATAAGGTGCTCTAAAAGACTTCAAACTTGGTTACTTCCCCTCTCTTTTTTTAACTTTTATTTCTTCTTTATTTTAAAGAAATATTTTGCTAACACAATAAAAACATTACCCAGTCCTGTTTATTAAAAATATTACTCTTGAACCACACAGCTTCAGGGTTTTTTTTTTATTCTGTTTGATTTCACCATTCAGAATATGTAGATATATCATGTGACTGCACATATAGGGTACACATTTAGTTGTGCAGCTTTATGTTTACATTGACCAAACAACGCATCACAAGTACAGTCAGTGGGGCTTAAAAGGTGCTACTACAACACAAGCTTACTGAAGCCTAATCTCACTGAGTTGTGTTCTACTTGCTTTTTGCATAATGGTCACAGGACTGTAGCCTAAATATTTATATCCTATTTATATCCTATCCATTTTGAGGCAGATACTATTCCTCTTGTTTAAACCTTTAGATGTTTGAAGAAAATGTTGACCATGCACTTTATTAGTAAAGAGTTTCTTCCCCCCCCCCAAAAAAATTTTGCTTTTGAGCCACTGTGTCATATCACAAGTAACATCCAGACTGTGATTCCTCAAATGTGATGAAGTGAAAGTCTGTGAATTATTCTCTGCACTACTCATATACGGGACAAAAGAGACTAGACGTGTAATTCATTTATGTCAACTAAATGCAAGCTTTATTAAGTAGAATGGCACCTACTCCCCAGTGTTTTTTTCATATGCAGACACTTTTTCCTGGAATTATTATCCTGTGATTCATATTTATGGAGTTTCCAAACATTGCCTGGGTTATGCCCTAAGTTGATTAAACACAACTGCAGGATTTGTCTATCATGTAGGCAGATCACTGTTAATTTTTTTTCATGGCATCCTTACATTTATAGTAGGACTGCAGTATCTACAGGGGGAACAGTTCCAAGCCCCCACCCCACAGATGCTAGAAACCACAGATATGCAAAACCTTGTACTGTATATAGCATAGTTTCTGGTTCCCTCTACTGACCAGTTCTGGTAATACATCTTGGAAATATGTATTTCGAGGGGGGGATTTATATTTTTATGCAGCGGATAACTGAAGCCACAGTTACTGATCGCATGAATATAGCGGTCCAGTAATTAAATATTTCCCATTAGCAGAATTTTCCTTTGGCTGCATTGTCTCCAATCAGAAGATAGTGTTACCAAATTCATTAGCTTTTCCATCTAGTATAACACTCAGAATTAATTATTAACTTCACTAACATAAAGATTTCCTTTACTTTGATGTTTATCTATTTATATTTTTATATTTAAAAATCAAGCTGTTTCCCTTCCTTAAAGATGCTGCCATGCTATTCTGTTACAACAAACACTAATTTAATACACCGGAGGGCTATTTATTTTTAATATGATTAATTCAGAACAACTTGCACTATGTTGTACATGTCCAATGTAAAGCATAGGAAACGAGAAACACTTGTCATACAGAAATAGCAACAGAATAACAAAGCCAAGAGAACATTAAAACAAAGGCCTTCTAGAACACCCATATTTTGACCAGAATTCTAATGGAATAAACCTCCAGGCAGAGCTTAGAAAAGTTAATTTTTGGATGCAACCTCCCGAGTCTTCCATCCAGCATGACCACATGGGCAAGTCACATTTCCAAGCGTTGCCTAGAGGGCATTCCATGAAACAGGTATAGCTATTGAAAAAAGAGTTGATGCATTCAACTGTGCCTCAGATGTTAGACGAAGGTTATAGACATAAACACCTTGATAGGAAAACAAAGATGCATAAAGAACCCAGGTGTCAGGCCAATGAGGCCTAAAAAGATCAGCCAATACCTTAAATTTAGGTTTGGATGGAACTCAACCAGTACCTAGTGCTGATTGGGGGATAAATTAATGTAATATATGTTCTAGATACCTAAATCCATCCAGAAATCAGGTGGCAGAATTTTCCAGCAGTTGACGTTCTCTACCTAAGAAGGTTAAAGCTAGTGATAGATGCTAGCAACTGTTGGGTTTTATACGTTAAATGAAAATTTGGGCTGTGGGTTCATTCTGTCAGAAATGCTGGGTGTACCAATGACCCATAATTTACGTGGGAGGCATTGTTCTTGCAGTGGTGAGACAAGACTCTCTCATGCTCAAGGCATACTTCTTGGGTGCAATATGAGCATTCATCGCACATATGTATCTAATTCAGGTTAACAGTATAGTGCAATACACTCGTTTGGTTCTGAGGCACTAGTATCTATAGAGCCCTCTGGTGGCATCCACAAGACTCCCCCGCTTCTTTTCCACGCCATTTTTTAAAAGTCTATTTTCCTTGCCTGACTGCTGCAAAATGCACCACTAGCTCTTCCTCATGTTAATTTCACCACGGGCTCACATGAAGTCCTGGTTTAACACCCAGAATGGCAGGCAGTTCTCCAGTATACAAACGCTTTCTCATCATGTTTTTTTTTTTTTTATCACGATAGTGCACGACTGGAAACAAGCTATTTATGGAGTATCAGTTCCTCGATTTTGGGTGCGATTGTGTAGTTCTGTTAATGGCGAGCAGAGCAGGTGAGGGAAATTCTGTACAAATTAAAATACAGTATGCTCAAAATCTACTCGCCCGTAGAGAGGCGTATTGTGCTGCAGAGGAGACCATTTGCTCACAAACACAGGGTTACATACTCGTGTCTATACTGTATGTAAATACAGTATACACATAACCGATGTCTGCTGTCTACTAACGAGATGGCAAAGGCTTATTCTCCCATCGTCTCAACGCACCTCGGTGAAATCTCGGAGAAATCAGAATTGACAAGGAAAACGATCGGTAGATCTTCTCTGTTATTAGCCATGGCCTGCGAGGTGTGGAAAGAGAAGCGACGAGATAATAAAAGCGTCCTCCTCGGCAGTTTTATTTTTTCCTACCCCCCACCCCCTTCGCAAGGCGATTCGCTCAGAACAACCTGCGGAGGCTGCAACGCGGTGCCTATTTATTATTTGCCCGGGAAGGCACCGGGGCGGCCCTAATTGGGGCTTGCATGTAAGGAAACATGCGTGCCTCGGGGAACTGCCAGGACGCTTCATACAGGGGTCGCCTGAGGATACGCGGTGCCTCTGCGCGCCCATTTGCCCCACACTTCTCGCCGAGGCAACCAACGAGGGCGAGCTCAGCCGCCTCACCCCTCACGTTGGCGG